TTGGGAATACGTGGTTGATGTACTCGCATAATGTACAGTACAGTACTTGATATTTCCCGATAAGTTTATTTTGGCAGAAAAAGGCGAGTTTTTCGGTATATGACTATAAGTAGACTCGCTCTACAACGAAATTCGAGGGACCAGAAAAAAGTTTTTGACAGAATTTAATTGAGATATCAATCATATGTGAAGAGACCGCTATTGAGCAAAAAAAAATATTAACTGAGAGAATCGTCGCACAGAGAGTCCATCTGTCTGCATAAATTTATTTATGCAAATAAATGTTTTCCGATTCCAAAAAATGGTCTAGTCTTTCTCTGTCAACCACGCTAACCTAACATCTTTAACTCTTTGAAAAACGGGAAAAGAAAAAATATTGCTACGAATGGCACAAGAACAGGAGACATAATCGCAAAACCAACATCATTTGACTTTTTTTTCTACTGGACCTGCAAATGAATTAATTTTCAATTTTCATTCTTCTAAGACCACTGACTTCAATTTCTTAGTTCCGAGGAGTTCAGGAATTTTCTTCATCCATTTTGTAGGAACGTGAAATGTGCAAGTGGCAATTTTGGGGGGAAAATCCGAACTTAGTGTAGCGTATAAATTGAATATTTTATACTAAAGCAACGTAATCATCGAGAAGACATTGGGTTGAGAAGCTTTAGTTGCGAGTCATAACAATTAAAATGAAACTCTCGGATAACCTGCATGGAGGAATAGCTGGTAATTTTTCAAGCAAAATTATACTGAGTCGAACGAAATATTTTTTCAACATGTCCAAAAATCGGGACTTCTCAAATCATCAGTCGTTCTCAAGCATATTATTTTATTTTGTTGACAAATTGTTCATTTCTTTGTGTATTCAATGCATTTTATGCAGACCATGGAGTGACTCTGCAGTATTGATTTATTGGGCCTTTTGTTATGGCTTCGTCGTTTATTTCACAAGAGCCAGTCATTGTTCCGGAATTTTTATTATACGGTTCACCTATATTTTGAAAAAATGGGCTTTCCAAATCCCGGGAAAAAAACTTGAATTGTGTCACGAATGGTCAGATATCGAATACCGAAGGTCCAACGAGAACTGTTGTGTTGATGCATTGTATTTATCATGAATAAATATATTTTTAAATCGGCATAATTTGTATTGAGTCGCAGCGGCGTTTCAATAATTCTATGGTAAGATGACTGACATCTTTTCGAGAATAAATATAAAATTTTAAAGTCGGAATCAAAACTTATGGCTTGTCCCTCGTATTTTCCCTCTCACCCTCTTGGGTCTTGCTTTATTCCGTGAGTCCATGGATAGCGATGATTAATCGGTTGCCAGTTGTACATTCATTCGCGGAAGGCAAACAAAGCTTACACTATTTTTTTTTTAGTCGCAGAACTCGGGAAGGCTTTTTTCTTGGCACAGGGTTGGAATATATTTTCTTGGTTTTTTTGCTTTGTTTTTAGACGCGCAACACGTTTCATTCTTCAGATGTTTAAGGAATGGATGAGGAGTTGGAATTTTGATCATAAACATTTTTTATTGGATGAACTTCAACCGTTTCAATGCGGAATTGAAGGTTTTTCAACTGCTGCTTTGGCTGTGTCGAGTCTGTATATTTACTCACGGAAACCTAAAACCCGTTGACATGGCTCTTTGTTAGTTTTCAGAACATTTATGTAAATTGGAATGTATTTGCAGCTTTCCGAGTCCCGCATTAGGAATGATTTATGAAAGAATGAAGGTATAAAATCATAGATTCCATACGTAATTTCCCTTGATGAAGTTCTGCTGTTTAATTTTACCGATTCTTTGTTGAAGTAAAAGTTGATTTCTTCCGTCGTTATCACGCTGAAAATGTGTGCGCACTTCAGTTGCATGTGAACATTTGTCAGAAAAAGGTAGGAGGGGATATAACCGAACTTTCTGCAAGTCAATGCATCCTTTTACTTGAGACAAATGATCCCTAGAATGAGCCTCATTTATGCAGTGTTCTTCTCTGAAAGTTGAGACAAACCCAGACTTTGTATCATCAAAACAGCAATGCAATAAAATCACGCCTGTTCATTTCTTGGAAAATGGCAGTTGCGAGGCATTTCTTCATCTCTTAAGTTTATATTGCCAAAACAAATGGCAAAGCTCTCTTTTTAAATTGCGAAAACTGATAGCTAAATGTCCCCTTTCACATGCCGAAATGGACGATAGCTAATGGATTCAATATCAATTCCTTGACAGAGTGAAGCTCAAAAATGTTTTGTGGGACGCGTTTTTGTCTCAGATATGAATTCAGCCCAGCTTATTTCCGAAAATCGCTTAGGATTTTACAATTTCACACGAGCTAGACAAACAAATTTTTCTAAATTTTAATTTTTGCTGAACTAGTGGATCGATAATCAATTTCTTGACAGACCCTTGACAGAGTGAAGCTCAAAAATGTTTTGTGGGACGCGATTTTGTCTCAGATATGAATTCAGTCCACCTTATTTCCTAAAATCGCTTAGGATTTTACAATTTCACACAAGCTAGACAAAAATGTTTATAAAATTGTTTTTGCTGAACTAATGGATCGATAATCAATTTCTTGACATACCCTTGACAGAGTGAAGCACAAAAATGCTTTCTGGGACGCGATTTTGTCTCAGATATGAATTCAGTCCAGATTATTTCCAAAAATCGCGATGGATTCCCCATTTGAGAAAAACTAGACGGAGCAAAAGGTTTAAAAAATAATGTTTCGCATAACTAATCTCGAATCAATTTTTAAACATACCCTGTGTGGTAAGCGGAACAGTGAAGGAGAGTCGCTACTGTCCCTTTTACGGCCCGGAACGAATCACATAAGAACCGTGACTGATTTTTAACAGCTTTCCACGTCTGTTTGCGGCCTTCTCTCACATTGTAATATTTGCTCTCCTTTTCCTAATATTCTCCAGTGCTTCACGTTTACGTACTGCACGCATAAAAAGAAAGTTTCTGGCTTTTGTAGCGGAAAGCCGAGAAGCCGTCAGAAAGTTCAGTTCCGTCCAGTCCGCGGCAAGAAAATTCAGCCTCGCGGGACAGGGTTCTCCGGGGGCTTTTCGTGGATGATTGATACTTGGGCGCCTGGACTCGGTTTATGGTGATTTCTGGGGCATGAGTTACACGCTGTTTTCTCCGCTTGAACATGAGAATTCTAGATGGGAGAAAAAAAAAGTATGGAAAGATAACCCACCCCGAAGGGCTTCTGCGAGCAACATGTTCCAGTGGGTGGGGGGAATGGAGTGAAATAGGAGAAGAGAAAATCTCACCAGGCGATATTTTGGAGAGTGAATTATTGGCGGTCAGTCGGGATGCAGGAAGTGTGCAACTTTAGCGTACAGGACGACGGGGGGATAAGAAAGGAAAACCCCCAGGAATAAAAAAGGGGGTTTTTTTCTTCGACCCTGTGGTTTATTTCCGTTTCCGACGATGCACTATTCGTCTTGCCCTCTTTGTTGTCGCGAGTATATGAGGAGAATTTTTAAACATCTCCGTCTCATTTCCGTAGACGTTTCAATTCCTTCACGGATCATATGAAAAAAAAAATCGCCATCACTGTACGCGGACTAGAAATTGATTTTCTTCTAAAAATATTTTGGTTCACGAAATTTTCAATCATCGATGAGCTGATGCACCGTGAAATTAACTGGGTGAGTTTGAGCACGAAAGGGTCTTGCCTGAGTGGTTCACATTTAAAAATTCCGAAATCTGTGTGTCCACGATGTAAAAAAAATATCGTTTGAAACCTAATCAGAAATGAATCCAAATGCGTCCAAGAATATTTGTCTATTACTTGTCTCAATTAGTTAGAAATATGCGGATACGAAAATCAATTTCTTGGTTCATCTACAACACTTTAATAAGAAGCATCAGAAATTTTATTTGACCATTTCGAAGCACCGGTGCGTGATATTGACTTTTCTTGAATTTATAGCATTTTTGAAGGAAGGCTTTTCACGATTTCGGAGTTTTTATGAGTTTTTTTCGTATCGATTTGAATTTTCATAGTTCATGTAAGTATTTAAGAAGAAAGCACAAAATTATGGATTGCTGTATCTCGAAACAGTTGAAGTGGAACTGGTGCTTTAGATCTTTCAATTTCGTTGTTTTTGAATTGCAGGTAGGTTCTGTTTACAGCGAAATAAAAAGGAACCATGAAAAATTCGTTGTAAAGATAATTTTCTTGTAGGCAAGATCTTTGCAGAGAGAGTCCAGATTTTTTTCCCCGGGTTTCTGAGTCAATCTTTGACGTGGGCATTATTTTATCTCCTTAATGATAAATATTATTTTGACCTTAATCATGTTTTGTTCCCTCCTCGGAAAATTCTTCTATTTCTTTTCGTTGTTTGTCGGGGAGGTGCGTTTTTTTCGAGTGTGAACTGGTTCGTTAAGATGACTGAATTCTGAAAGTGATTTTTTTTTTAAGTGAAATTGAGGCCCTAAAGAGCAACGAAAAAGTGAGATGATGATGGGATATCTTGAGTGGATACTCGTGGTGCATTTTCGAAACGTGCATCGAATCTGCCTGGAGGCAATTTCCTTACCGAAACATCCACAAAAAAAGCATGAAAAAAGCTTTTCGAATACCAGACCCTGCATTAAGTAGAATAAGCTTTTCGGGGTTGCTTCCAATCCCTGTTTTTTGTCGACGAAGTAGAAAGAAATCGCGGTGAAATAAATAAATAAAAAAGAAGAGAAAATATAGCGAGGAAGTTGTGGAAGAATGACTGGAAAATGCCAAGCGAAATGGGCTGAGAAGAGGGAACAAGAACGCGATAAATCTTGAAATATGATTTCGATATATTGAGATTGGCAGGGCCTGTTATTGCTCTTCCAGGCTAGACCCTTGCCAGAAAGTTTTCTGGATACTCAGCAGATTTTTCTGCTGGGTACTTCTGCTTATTCTCCCCCACCCATTCGCAAAAAAAAAAAAAAAAAAAAAAAGGAAAAAAACTGACGGGAAAATCTTGGACGTCTGATAAAATTATGAAGAAATAACTGAGTAAGAACCGGCCAAAAAGATTTGAACGAGCGCGAACTTCGAAATTCACAAGAAAACTTACCGATTTGAGCAGCATTTCCACGCCTCATATTCTTAGTCCTCACAGCTTCTTTAATCCTGTCAACTTCGCTTTGGTACCGTTTCCTATCCCTCATAGCTGATTCTTTCGCTTCTTTCAGGGCGACTTCAAGCGCCTTGACTCGCTCCATTGTGGCTCGCAAACGTTTCTCCAACTTCGGCAATTCACAACGGAGATCCGCATTGTCACGCACGAGCTGCTTGTGGACCTTCGTCAGCTGCTCGAGGTTATTTTCCAAGAAGTTGATCTTTTGCCGTTGTGCCATAGACCCTCCGTCTTCCACTTCCTCTCCAGCCGCACTCTGAATACAAGGAAAAATTTTAGAATCAGCTGATGAAGAAAAATATGTTTATATCAAGAAATCACCTTTTTCACGCGGTTCTGCAGATCTTGTACGAAGAGCTTACGGAGGTTGTGCAAAGTGTGAAGCTCCTTGGAAACAGTTTCTTCCAAGCCTTTCAAATCCGAGCGAGCTTGCTCCCGTCGATCATTCAAAACCCTGCAATACAAATGTTTATTTGTTTTTACTGAACTCCCTAAAACTTTAAAGAAAACTCACGTCAATTCTTTCAGTTTCGAGCTCTTTTCTTGATCTTCCAGCTTCAAGCGCTCGTAGTCTTGATTCAGTTTATCATAGCCTAATTCAAGTTTCTGACGAGCGTCCTTCAGTTCTTCAATCTGCGCTTGTTTCACAGCGATCTCATCCCTCAAAGACGCCACTTGTTTCTGATGCTGTTCGCGATGTTGTTCAAGTTGCTGATCCAATGCGTGCTTGGCTTCTTGTCCAGCTTGGGCACGTTCAACCTGAGAAGCGGCCTTCAATGTTGCGCATTCTTCTTGAGCCGCATCAACAGCTTCTTCCAATTGACGCTTAGAGGCTTCCGCGGCTCGAAGGGATTCTTGCAAACTTCCCAACTTTGCCTCATATTGCTGAATTTTTAGCTTAGACTCAGAAAGATCGGATTCAATCGATTCAAGCTTAGATTTTGCCGTCTCCGTAGAGCTTTCAAATTGCTGACAGCGCCCTGTCAAATTCTTTGCTTCCGATTTCATCTTCGATACATACAAACGCGCAAGAGTGAATTCCTCCTCCAATTTAGCGATAGAGTCTTCCGGTTTGGATGATGCTCCAGGCGAGGACGGGACAGCAATCTATAAGCAACATAATTTTAAACATCGTTAGAAAACGAAGACAGCTCCAAAAGTTCCATGAAAACCATACAACACGCTTAGATTTTTTTTTATTCCTTAGAAGGAAACATTACGAAGCGTGTTGAACAATTTCAAAAAGGATCACCTGAGATGTCTTCACTTCTAATGCTCCTAATCCCCCTGCATTTTACGAAGCAGAAATTTTCGGACATTGAACGATCTAAACGTGAAGGCAGTAGAAACAAACATGTAATTGCGGTGCTAAAGCTCAATTTTACTTTAAAAGGGACGCCTAAAAAAGGAAGATTCGGCCTGGCTTTGAACTATCAACTTGAAAAAAAAATGATCAGTCCAACTTCGCAAAAATATTTTAGAAGATCGTTGAACGTTTAATCTTCATTTGTTGAAGAAGAAATGAAAAATTATCCTTTCTATTATTTTCTTCCAGCATCTAAACTTATAAAACGTAAACATGATGACTTACCGAGAAATCACTGGCGCTTCCTCCAAGAGTAGCCCCCATTTCAGACAAATCCGTCAGCAGAGACGCCAGTGATTCCGAAGTTCGACGCCTTTGAACCACACTCAGGTCTTTCAACTGTTGCAGGTCGTTTTGCAAAGCGTTCAAATGACTCTGCTTCGAACTCAGTTCCTCCGACATGGTCTCGTTCTCTCGGGATTTGCCTTCAACCTCCTGCGACTTTTGGTCATAATTGAGCGCGAGTTCTTCCAATGCCTGCAAGACCTCCTTGACTTCTTCTTTCGCCGACTCATTTTCACGCTGAATCCGAGCCATTTCGCTCTGAACAGCCTCGTAATCTTTACGAGTCGTTGTGAGCAACTCGTCTTGTTCGAGCATTTGGTCCTTGAGCTTTTCCAAAAGCTGCGACATTTGGTTGATTTCTTCGTCTTTATCATCAAGTTGCTTGTAGAAAGCTTCTCTTTCCTCTTCGAAATTCGCAGCTTCGTCGCCTCCCGTTGTCACTCTTGGACCAAGAACAGGCGCAGGTGCCACCGGAGGGACTGAAAAAATTGAAGGTTTTTTTTAAACAACGAAGAACAAATTTTTGAACGTTAAACGTTTGTTTTCTACACAATTCATTGATGAAGTTATGAATTAGAAGCTATGAAGATACTGCTTCTATTAAATACCACGCAAACGTCTCCCCCCCCCCCCCAAAAAAAATCCCGAGAAAAAAAAAATCAGATTCAAGTCATACGAAAATAAAAATCGTGAACTTTTCATTCGTAATTTCTAGAAATTTCATTTCAAAAATTTCAGTCGATGCCTTACACGCGGTGAATGCTAATTTTATTTTCAAACTCTAACTGAATTAAAATATTCTGCATGAAGCAAAGCATATGCTCCCACCATCAATAGTTGTAGTCGAAGCTTGCATGAGCGCCTCGGGAGCTTGCTCTTTAGTAGGAACTTGTTCCTCCGCAGAAACTGTTTCTCCACCACGCCAACGAGCCAATTCGGCCATAAGGGAATCCACCATTGCTCGGAGGCGGGATGATTTTTCCCGCTCTTTCTCATAACGACGCTTCCATTCCTCAGCCGTCAGCTCAAGATTAACGCTCACGACGTTCTTGATTGTCTTCGCTCTGTACGAGACATTAACATTTTGCTATTAAAGCTGGTTATCCAGAATAAATTCCAACACACGCGTATTTCCAGCACGTACACGAGGAGCTTATTCTCTTTTTATATCTCGACTCAAAAAAGGTACGTCAAGAAATCGACGGAGATTTGTATTCGAACGCAAAATACAGTACGTCTTCATGGGGTGGTTAAAAATACGAACGATTTAAAATCGGTAATGAAGGATTAATTCGCCGAACTTCATTTTTAAACTGTGAATGATTTAGATTTTAGAAGTACGACTGGGACAAAAAATAAATTGAAGTGCGACTTTGAGAATAAATCTAGGGTTATTTCCATTCTAAAGTAAAAACAGAACAAAACATTGTAAAAAGTCGAAATATTCCTTGCAAAATTGGTTTCGTAGGGAAAAAAGATTATATTAGCAGTTTCGCACCGCAATGCAGTGTACTTCAAGATTTGCTTACCTTTTCCCAAATTCCATCGTAGACTTCGTCTCAGCTTCGTTAAATGATGCCGGAGAAGCACAAATGACGATAGTGGTTCGAGCATTTCCTCCAAGGGATTCTTGAAGAATCCTGGTGAGTTTCGAATCACGGTAGGGAATATGAGACTTGTTTCCATCAGCCAAGGCTGAAATTACGTTCCCTAGAGCCGACAATGACTTATTGATATTCTTAGCTTCGTCCAACACAGTTCCTTCCGCTCCCGTTTTGCTGACCTGGACGACATCAAGTTCAGAGAAGCGTTATGTGGCAACGAAAAAAGCGGATCTTCGACATAATTCGCTTGGCAGTAGTACATCAAAACTGCTGACAAGAAAAAATTCTTACCTTTTCACTGCCAGCAAGATCTACAAGATACAATTTTCCTGAAAGCTTCTTTTGATTCTCCAAATTTTCTTGCTTCACATTGATGAGGAAGACGCTGTGACTCCTAGAACTGTGTTCATTCATGTCTAAAGGAAAATTAAAGAATAAAAACACATAACAGCAAAACTAGCGAATGCGCGGATACGGGAACTCACTAGTTACAGCAATATGACGATTGGCCTTTCCTTCCTCAATGGTTTCAAACACTTCCTCTGGACTTGAAACGAATCTTTCTGTGACTCCTTTCACATATGGAACCCTATTTTTATCTTCATGGACGCTCAAGTTCACTTTACTCACTAGACAAAAAAAGGAAAAGATTATTTTACACAAACAATCAGGGCTGAAAACGAAATACAGCGAACTCACCATCCAGTAGATCCCGAATCTTATCCATGTAAATCTCAAAATACGAAACTTTGATGTGGAACTCAAGGTTCTCCTCCATCGAGTAAATGTGGTTGAAAATGTCGTTTACAATACGCGGAATGATGCCTTGCTTTGCCTCGTCGCCCAAAACTCCTTCCATCGTGTGAGTTTTTCCACTGGAAGTCTGTCCATAGGCAAAAATAGTGCCGTTGTATCCGCCGAGAACATCCTTGACGATTCCCTTTGCGGACACATCGTAGACTTGTGACTGGATCGCATTCGGCTTCACGACTTTGTCAAAAACGTAAACTTTACCCTGAAAGAAAAAAATTCCATATTTAACAAAATGCGGAATTACTCGACGAAGCATCGCAACATTAAAATGCCAGGCTTCCGCCAGAGACAGTAAAAATTAATTTCAACCTGTATGTTTTACGAATCAAGTCTCTGTTACAATGCTTGAAAAAATTGACTTCGTAGTAGTTCGTGACCTACCAGTGGCGTTAAAGACATGGTTATACCGTACTGAGAACACTCATCTTAAAAGTAACCAGGCACTTTTCAGCTGATCACGAAGAAATTAAAAGATCTTAAAATAATTTATGTACAGTAATTATATCTAACGAAACCCATATCGATCTTATGAGAGCGGAGCCCGATGAACAACTTTGCGTAATTTTTTTCAATTTTCACTTCAGATAAATTGTTTTCACTTCCATCATGAAAATGAAGCATTGTCAGGAGTATCTTAGACAGGTCAGATAATATAACACTTTTGTCCCCCTAAGGTCGGCCACGTAACGTGACAGCACCGTAATTCCATCGCAGCAAGTTTCTTCACGGTAAACCTGTAACTACAGGCTTACATACAATACATTTTAAAACCTTTCCAGAACTAGTTATCGTAGATTTTCACCCAATTTAACAACTCATTTTTTAAAATCTTAGTTCATTAAAGACAAAATTCATATTATTCAGGAAATATAGAAGACTGTGTCAAATTTTCACGAGGGTGATTCTTCCAAGGGCACAAAAAGGAATAAATCATTAACGTAAAGGAAGACCAAACAAAAATTTTCGCTTTCGAAGTGTTTCCATCACAGCTTGCAATATCGTCAACACCGATGTTACTCGAACCCTTCTACAAAAGCCAAAATAAAAATGACTCACCCCAATAGAGACGCAGTTTTCGTCTTGGAACTTGACAACGAACTTCGAGCCGGCTCGTTCCTCTGAGTCGTTCAATGGCCGAAAACGACACACAACTTTAATACTGTCTTCCGCTGGCACATCGCGTTCGGGAATCTCAACCGGCGACGAAACGGCCGGGCTCGAAGCCATGATTCTTCACACAAACCGTATCACAAGCACATCGTACCGAACAAACCAAAACAAAAACCAAGGTAAGCCTGTCGAAAAATAACATGAATCATAACCGTTTTTCATACCCCATCGAGGACGATAAATATTTCAGAACAAATCACGATTCAAAAATCGTTGCTCGCACACATTTCCCCAAACCTGAACGAATCACCATACCATTACAAAATTCCCATCGTGCGAAAAAAAAAATTCCGAAGAGCACTTCTCATCACTCAAAAATTCACGATCAATGAGGAATATCTTGTATCACATAGAAGGAATAAAAGTTTCCCAGTTTGCAAAGCAGTCGACACTTCGAACGACGGTGAATTCAGAACTCCTTCAAATCAGACTCGAATAATCAACAGCCCGAGACAGTCTAAGGCTAATCTTTCATGATAAATACGGACTTCTGCTCGAAAAGCATAAAATATGGACTTTTCAGCAAACAATCCTGTGCCAAAAGAGTTAAATGAAATGAATTCAAGCCTTGGTGGCTATTCCCCTCATATGCCTCACAGCCGCGATAACACGATGCGGATGTCCTGCACTTTTCTCAAGAAACTCATCTGGCTTCAATCTCAAAAGGTGCACCAAGGCCTTCAAATTTGCGTGCATTTGAACCCCTATATCATCCAATACGTTGCCAAAGTATTCTATATCCGCTGCAAGCTGTTTTGCAGCATTGCTCGACACTTGATTCAATTTCAAACATTCTTCTGCATAGATTTGACAGGCACCTACTCCGAGGCATGCAAGAATGTACGCAGATGGATCTTCTCGTTCCGGGTTCGCGAGGTTAAAACCTTCCGGACAATAGGTCGAGTCTGGTAGAGATAAAACTGCCCAGAGATATTTTTCATTCATCGACGTTGCTGATTCTAGATGCTGAGGAAGTGTCATTATGAACTGTCCAACCTGAAAAAAAACGATACAATCAAAAATATTCATAAAATAATAATCCTTATCGAACTTTTGACCAGCTTTAGGCAGCAATCGGTTCGACACTAAAAATCTGATCACGAGATTGCTCGAAAATTATCGTCATTGGAAATTTACTGATAAAGGTACTCGGAAAGATTAGCAAGGAAACTGTCATAATCCTATTTGGGGATTTTTTTTTTCTCCGTTGGCCGTACGACTTTGTTTTCAATGTAAGACAGATGGCGCCCGAATCACGGATTCAACAAAAAATAATGTTATCATACCTATATTAACCGAACTTCAGCCAAATCACCTCAGACCAAAACAAATTCAAGCGAAACCTACATCATGAAGAAAACAACAAAGTTTAGGACGTCAGCAGTAAATTAAAAGAACCAACATTTGAACGACAATGGGATAAATGAGCCGGGAACCAGAGTCCAACCATCCAGTGGTCAAATAACTCCTGTTTTGATCAAGTGCATCATAACGACCTCTAACTAACATTTTCAAGTACTGCTGGTCACAGGTGAAGAAATTATTTTCTGAAATACCCGCAGAATTAGCAACGTAACTCACCTGGGTAATATACTCTTGAGGACTAAAGCTGAACTCTGGTAAAGTGGCAACCTGCACATCCATAGGAACAAGCTTCTTTTCATTCAATCCACCCAATTGCATGTGCACAGGATGCAGCAACATATCTAACGCCCAACGTCGGACTTCTTTACCCGTGTCTTCGAGCGCATTTGCAATTTCACCGGCGATCAAGCTTGTCCTTTCTCCGAATTGTAAATCTTGCACGAATTTCATCAAACTAGCTTTCGACTCCGACGTCAGGAGATACGTCGTGTAATTTTGCCACGATGCAGGCTTTTGCAACCCTTTGGTCGCCTCCAACGAACGCTGTGTGATCTTGGCGTCAATCTTCATCAACGAATACAACAACTCTCCAGTCATTTCCATGGTTTGCAGCGCGTACTGAACCAAAAGCCATTCATCAGCGGGTTCGTGAACCTCTCGTAGGAATCGCAGCACAGCCGTTTTGAGCTTCGTGGATGCAATCCGAACGCATTCCAACCACATCACTATACAACAACCGTGACTTAATTCCACGCACTTCTCGTGACTGCTTTCCACTAAGTCCGCCACCTTCGAACACTGCTTTCGAAGATTATTCACGCGATCCAAAACATCACCTGTTTCTTCGTCTTTTTGTTGGAACACAGCCTTTTCGAAAGCATTGTTCAAATATTGGGTGTAATTACTTATGGATTTCCGCAACGGACGGTAAACTGTGGCGACGAAATTTTCGGAGACTTCACAATTCCTTGACTGCTGCCGATTCTGAATGTTGCACAGGAACTGATTCGAAGATTTCATTACGGATTCCAGATAGCCCAAAGGATCTGTACGTTGCTTCAAAGATGCATCCAGGCAGAAATCTAAAGAAGGGTCTAAGGAGTCGATCACGTCAGCGAAAAGTTGAAGCAGAGCACTGTCACAGTCAAAGGCAACATTGATGCCTCCAAGCCAATCGCGCTGCTCCTTCCAATACCGGGTCAGTGTCTCGTAAAATTTATCTTGCCACTCCTGTGGAAAAAGAAATAATACAAACACAATTTTGATATATTTTAGAACTGTAAATAAAAATATATCGTAAGAGATCATTGAAAAGCCAAGAGTGGTGTTGCTAGGAGAATAATCATGAATCACGGTAAACAAACAAACAAAAACATATTTTTATAGCCACAGCGGTATCCCGGATAATGGTCGCCTCTCGCAATGAACTAGGACTGACACTAATTCTCGATTCGGACAGTGAAATTTCTTCCGACTCATCCTGAAGAAATTTGGCTTTTGCCTATAATAAAGAAAGATGATTTGAAAAAAGTAGTGGTCAACCCAATTTTCCGGGTGGATGAAATCTTTGATATTTTTACGGTGTTGAGCATTCGCCTTTCGCCTAAAATTTACGATCATGTTCCAGAAATATTTTATTACTGGCTTATAAAGGGAAATTTCCACTAGATGTGGAACGGGATCCCTCGGCAATTTGCAGCCATTCAGGAAATCTTTACAATACTCAGTTGAGTGACTTCTAGAAAACATGGTACCAATTAAAAAAAAAAAAAACTTCGAACTATTTGTTCAATAATTTCGAATTACGGACTTTCCCTTGCAACGGATGAAGTCCATTAACTGCGGCAACATTGCAAAAATTACGAACGATAATTTGTCTTCTCAACCGAGACACGACGTCCTGGTTAACAGCCTCAACCTCGACACGCTTTGGCTCAACGTAAAAGCCCTTAAATCGCTCTTAATGAACAAATAATCCCCGTCGACCAGTTTTCGTCGTCGCGCTCAGAAATGCAGTCATAAATCGCTCACCAGGTAACTTTCATCCACCTCACTCTCGACAATGTTTCTCCATTCCTGCATCAAAACTCCTTTGTGAAAGTTCTGGAAGTATTTCAGGAATTGCGATTCTCGTCCCATGGAAATAAACAGTTTGTAGTGATCTTTAGCAGCTAAAGCGCTAGTTGCATTGAACGCGGCGACGAGCTTTGGGGACGCCAAGGCCTCGAGTCGGTTTCGTAAGGCCTCCAAATGCTGACTCCTGTGAATGACGTAAGTTGTCGCAAATATGTAATATTTTTTAGCTACAACAAAAACGCACCTCGAGGCATAATCAGGAACGTGGGCCAACATTGACAGGCTGTTGGCAAGAGCTTCAAGCTTTGCGGCTATGCTAGTAATGTCACCTGCGTCGAACACCTCTTCAACATCCGCGAGCAAAGTTGTCCAATTGTCCGCCTGGAAAATTGGGAGGCAGTTAGAAAATATTTTGCAATATTTTCAAGAGCAAAAATCTATAGGAAAATTTCAAGTTCGACCCCGCGAACACTTCGAAATGTATCCTAATTCTTAAAAGCGAGAACTTCATAGCTCCTGTGAAATAATGATCGACGTTAGGCTTTCGGTAAGCTCATCTTTGAATCAGAATTACATGAAAACAAATCCCTCGAAAGTATTATCGCAGAGAGTAATCCTGAGATTGTATAATTTTAAAAAATCGTTATTTCCTCGCCGGAGCCACTTCCCTAATTTGAAAAGCCACCCCAACGGTAGAAACCGATTTGAATAGACTCATCCAACAACAAAACAAGGATTACGTAAAAATATAACTAATGCCAACCTGCCGATTTTTTTCACGTCTCTTGAATTTCGTTGTAGAGAGATTCAAACTGTATACCATAAATCCTATCGCGTATGTTGAGTAATTAAGAGGAAAGGTTTTTCGATATGGATATGCCTTTCTGGGTAGATTTGATGGATGTTGACAGCGTGTTCTCAGGTAATGTTTCAAGGTTACAACATTTTCCGAACACGTCAAGGTATTTAGAAAATCGAAAGTAATGCACAACGGACTCCTCGAGAAAATTTGGGACACAATTTTTAAAAATCATGCTCGTCCCACAGCGCTTACGGATGAAAAACTGAGCGGGATCACCAAAATCTGATCACCATATCATTCACCCTCGCCTTCGACGAGAAAGTGACACACATAACTCAAGTCACTGTCCCAATCCTTTCAACGCGTAAAGAAAGGCAATAAAAAGTTTACATCATTCAGATACTCCGTGCCCTTACGAGCTCGAGATGAAAGCGGAGAGGAAGAGAAAGAACGACAACGCCTTAAATTGTTTGAAGAAACACAAGAGCATAACCCATCACAAGAAACCGTTAAATTTAACTGCCATTCACTCACTTGCTTAACGGCGGCACAGGTGTCGTTCAACCGAACTTTCAATCGGTCGAGGGCGACTAGATCGGCCATCGAGTCAGCTGAATCCGTGTATGTCTTCGAAACCTCTTCCTTCATCGTTTCCATTTGAGAACTGAGAATGCTGGCCTCCTGCTGCAACGATTCCATTTCGCGAACAATCCTCGGCAAAGAGCCAATCACCTTTATCAATACAAATAAAATACGAAGAGCATTTGAAATTATTGAAAAACGTCAAAATCCCCGAATATTTAAATTATGACAGACATATATGATTCACGATCTCTTCATAATTCCAAAATTACATTGGAAACGTAAGCCCTGCGCTAAAACAGGGTGACCCACATCATTCGACGAATAAAAAAATTTGATTTTCTAAACACTCTATAAACCAAATTTAATGTTTACTTCATTTCAATTCTTGTAAAATGGAATACGATTTAAAATACTGCATACTTTATTCATGCCATTTTAGCTGCAATTGCAAGTTTGCAACTTCGAAAACAGAATTGGCGAAGTGGAAGGAAAATATTTGTACTGCAATTTTTGGAAAAAATAGAGTGCTGAACAGCTGATACGGACTCAAGGATATACGGTAGTAACTTCATCCTTTAAAATCGATTCAATTTTTTAATTGTTGAATTATTGCACTTTTCTTCGAACATTAATTTGCCATGCGTTTGGGTTGCAGAATTTTTTCACGTTATTGTGCATGATCTCGAGACAGCGCTGTACAGTATTAATATTTCTGAAAGCTTCATGTTTCATTAAATTCTCAAAATTAGCTACTATATCTCAGAAAAATGTCATATTCACAAATGTTTCAATTTTTAACCCGATCAAGAATGCACTGGACAGAAATTCACTACATACCTGAACACTGGTTTCTTCAAGCGAACGGTTTATCTCCTGTATGCTCAGTTGAAGCTTCATGACGATAGAAGTCGCAAACGCTTCTTTATCTTCAACCGATTCCGTTGACTGGAAAATCGCATTTATCCATTCTTTCGCAACGAAATCCGGATTCCGGAAGGCATCCAAAGATAAATCTGTCATATTTTCACTTCACGACTAATTCCTTCATTTAAGGCATCTTCTAGAACGGAATGTAACAGAAGTCCCGTGAGAAAATGAGGATTGAAAATTCGACAATACAAATAAGAGCTCCCCAAAATGCTTTCGTTTTCCCCCTTACACTTCTCGATCCCCATCAAGCATCACCAAATGAATGAAAAATGTTCGATAAAGCATTCAAAACGGTGCGCCTACCCCAATATCTCCGAAGCACTTCGTATCAATTGACTTCAATCGAGAGCTCAGAATAAAAACCCACTGGCGGCAAGCCCAATTGTTGCAAGAACAATGCAATGAAACACATGACCACATGAGCTAGACAGCACGAGAGTAACAAAACTCTTCAACAAAATTTTAACGCGTTACCATCACAGTTACCCATGCTTCACATAAGCAATTGCCTGATGAACCGTATTTCGCACGACGAGACGAACGCAGGTTCCAGGCACGCAAAAGATAACCACCATAGAGTTTGTGATACTGGTGTCGTCTCAATCTCAACATTTTCGCCAGAAAATGTCAGAGAAACTACACTTTCTCACAAGAAGCAAAGAATTGAACATCAAAGCGAGAGGAGCAATTCTCCGTGGCGTAACTGAAGGAATACCGTACACAGCATCAAAAATCGACAAATTCGAAAAACTGATCAACGAACAGTTCGACGAGAGTTATGATCGTTTAACCGAAATTGCACGAGATCCTGGATCAGCTGAACAAATTTCAACCGAGCTGCAATGAACGAATACAATATAGAAGCCGGCTATCACGCAGGGTTCACGAGCCTGAGAAAACGGGCAACAAATTATTATTAAAAAAAAAATTTAACGAATATTTTGACTAATGGCAAAACCTCAAACTTTAGACGTCGTTCGGGATAGCATTTGACTATCGATGAAATAGCGGCTATCACTGGAAGGGCAGCATATATACCATGAGGAAGTAATGAAGCATTCACGAGGAAAAAGCAAGTCACAATTCACGCCTTAGTCCTGGAACTATTCGCTTTGCGGGAACACGGTAAATGCCCATGTCTCCTTCGGTCGCAGGCCGGGCCATGCCGCCAATTCGCATTACTGCAGGCTGCGTCCCAGCACTTGAAAATCCTCCTCCAGCAACAATCGGATGGTGTCCAGCGCGAATCGGTTTCGCTAAAGAAAAAAAATTGCTTTCAGTTGTCACATCCATTTCAATTCTCTTTGAAAAATCATGCGAAAAAGCTGGCACATTGTCGTCAGCAGAAATTTCATTACGCGAGAGGAACATGAAAAACATGCCGCACTAGCTACCAAAAATAAATTCAGAATATATGAGGCAGAATAAACATTAATTAACGACGATTGATAAATTAAATATTGATTAATGAACGATTGACCCACGGCCGTTTACCAAATTTTGGGATCAGGTCTCACATAGCCAGAGAAATTCCGATACAAACATAAGTCGCAAAAATTTGCACATTCGCGAAAATTGCCTTACCGATTTGGGCGGCGTTTCCACGTCTCATATTTTTAGTTCTCACAGCTTCTTTGATTCTGTCCACCTCGGACTGATACCGTTTTCTGTCTTTCATAGCCGACTCTTTGGTCTCTTTCAAAGCAACTTCGAGCGCCTTGACACGGTCCATTGTGGCTCGAAGTCGTTTCTCCAGCTTCGGCAGCTCACATCGGAGATCAGCATTGTCACGCACAAGCTGTTTATGAACTTTGGTCAGCTGTTCGAGGTTATTCTCCAAAAAGTTTATCTTCTGCCGTTGAGCCATCGACCCACCGTCTTCTACTTCCTCGCCAGCAGCGCTCTGCACAGAGAAAGAAACGTTAACAACGGAATCTTTTCCAAAATTTTAAGATCAACACATTACCTTTTTTACACGATTCTGCAAATCTTGCACAAAAAGCTTACGAAGATTGTGCAAGGTTTGCAATTCTTTTGCGACGGTCTCTTCAAGGCCTTTCAGATCAAGTCGAGCTTGCTCACGTCGATCATTCAAAACTCTGTAGAAAAAAAGTGGCGTTTAGAATATACGACTTCGAAGACACGAAAAACATAGACAATAACTTAAAGCGATTATACGGAATAAAATTAAACCACGTATTGCATCATCAACAATAACTCCCAATTAAAACAGAAGAACACTCACGTCAACTCCTTTAGTTTGCAGCTCTTCTCTTGATCGTCCATCTTCAAGCGCTCGTAGTCTTGATTCAGTTTTTCGTGAGCTAGCGTAAGCTTTTGACGAGCATCATTTAGTTCTTCAATCTGCGCTTGTTTGACGGCAATTTCATCCCTCAAAGACGCCACTTGTTTCTGGTGCTGCTCACGATGTTGCTCAAGCTGCTGATCCAAGGCTTGTTTGGCTTCTTGTCCAGCTTGGGCACGTTCAACTTGCGAGGCAGCTTTCAAAGCGGCGCATTCTTCTTGGGCCGCATCCACAGCTTCTTCTAACTGACGCTTTGATGTCTCTGCAATTCGTAGGGATTCCTGTAAACTTCCCAACTTGGCTTCGTATTGCTGAATTTTCAACTTTGATTCCGACAGGTCTTTCTCAATTTCATCGAGTTTCAGCTTTGATGCTTCCGTTGTGCTTTCAAACTGCTGACACCTCGAGGACAAGTTATTGGCTTCAGATTTCATCTTCGTTACGAAAAGCCGCGCGTGCGTAAATTCCTCTTCTAGTTTTGTGATGCTGTCTTCTGGTTTTGCATGGATACCCGGTGATGAGGGCGTCGGGATCGGAAAGTTCTGCAAAAAATTGTGAGAACGTGATTTCCACAAAATTGAAGAAAAAAAAGGTTCCGGTTTGAATTCGATTCCATGAAGTCTAAAATCTGCAGGTAAATCGCTTTAATATCCGCGGGCAACACAATATTATGAATAAACAAGTCAGAATTGATTTTAACTAAAATTTGCACTGGACTAATGGTAAAAAATGATGAAGCTTCAAAACTGTGTTTTCCCCAAAATGCTAGGATGCGCACTTTTATCGAACATATTCTTCTTGAAAAAAAAAATGCATAACAGTGGCCCAGAAAGTATAAAATACGGTATAGTATTGGTTGATCATATAAAATTTACATCGATTCTTATCTAAGACTTCAACAATTTAAAGAAAATGGGGGGAAAAACCAGCAAAATAACTTTGAGTAAGTTGAAGTTTTGAGTAGTGAATTACTGCAGGGCGGTCATAATTGTTTTGACAACTCACTATGAAATCCTTGGCATTTCCGCCCAAAAGGGAAGCCATTTCCGAGAGGTCAGCAAAAAGCGACGCTAAGGATTCCGACGCACGACGGCGCTGAAGAAGACTCATGTCCTTCACGTGCTGTAAATCATTTTGAACCATATTCAACTGACTATGCTTCGCACTCAACTCCTCAGACATGGTCTCATTTTCCCTCGTTTTTCCTTCAACTTCCTGCGATTTTTGATCATAATTGAGCGCGAGTTCTTCCAAAGCTTGTAGCACTTCTTTCACTTCTTCTTTCGATGAATCATTCTCTCGTTGAATACGAGCCATTTCGCTCTGAACCAATTCGAAGTCTTTCCTAGTCGTGTTGAATAACTCCTCTTGCTCCAACATTTGCTCTTTCAACTTCTCCAGAAGCTGAGACATTTGATTAATTTCTTCATCCTTGTCATCCAATTGTTTGTACAACGATTCTCGTTCTTGTTCAAACGTTGATTCTGCATCACCGGAGGTTACTACAGTCGGCACTGGTGCCACTACAACGGCAACTGTTAAAAAATCAGTTCATATAGCTGATGCAATGCGAAGACAAGATAAAAAGACATCAGAGTACAAGGCGTGGTTATCAGCAAAACTAGCGTTCAAGGAAAACTTCCTTTGTGAAATGAAATTACTTAGTACAGTATTAGGCTCATTCAAGTACCCGTAAACAAATATATTGCGTATACAGTATACCGTAGTATATTTTAATAACGCCTACTAAGGGCTTGATTCAAAACCTACTTTCAGAAGCAGTCATTGACTGCGAAGGTACATCAGCAACGGGTTCTTTAGCCGTAACTTGTTCAGCAGCATCCACAGTTTCTCCACAACGCCAACGGGCTAGCTCAGCCATCAAAGCATCGACAGTAGTCTTCAACCGAAGGGCTTTGTCGCGCTCCTTCTCGAAACGACGCTTCCATTCTTCGGCAGTCAATTCTAGGTTAACACTGACAACGTTCTTGATTGTTTTCGCCCTATAAAGATAAAAATTAAACATTATATACTGTACTGGCAAATGGATATACAGTAAATTATTACGTACCTCTTCCCAAACTCCAATGTTGATTTTGTCTCAGCGTCATTATATGATGCTGGAGAAGCGCAAATTACGATCGTAGTTCGAGCATTTCCTCCAAGGGATTCCTGAAGGATTCTGGTGAGTTTAGAATCACGATATGGTATATGGGACTTATTCCCATCCGCCAAAGCAGAAATTACATTCCCTAACGCTGACAAGGATTTATTGATATTTTTTGCTTCGTCTAGAACGGTTCCTTCAGCTCCAGTTTTGCTGACCTAAAACCAAGCAAAAGAATATGAATCATCTCCCCGCGAACTGTTTCATAAAAATAACTTACTTTCTCACTGCCAGCCAAATCAACCAGATACAGTTTCCCTGATAGTTTCTTCTGATTTTCTAGGTTTTCTTGCTTCACGTGAATTAAGAACACGCTATGACTTCTAGAACTGTGTTCATTCATATCTATAAGATGCAAGAGAGTGTCAGAAAAGTTAAAAATAAAAAGTATCTCCAATACGATACTCACTAGTGACGGCTATATGCCGGTTAGCCTTTCCTTCTTCAATTGTTTCAAACACTTCCTCTGGACTTGAAACGAATCTTTCTGTGACTCCTTTCACATATGGAACCCTATTTTTATCTTCATGGACGCTCAAGTTCACTTTACTCACTAGACAAAAAAGGAAAAGTTTATTTTACACAAACAATCAGGGTTGAAAACAAAATACAGCGAACTCACCATCCAGTAGATCCCGAATCTTATCCATGTAAATCTCAAAATACGAAACTTTGATGTGGAACTCAAGGTTCTCCTCCATCGAGTAGATGTGGTTGAAAATGTCATTCACAATGCGCGGTATGATCCCCTGCTTCTCCTCACTACCCAAAACTCCTTCCATAGTGTGCGTTTTCCCGCTAGATGTTTGTCCGTAGGCAAAAATAGTGCCGTTGTATCCACCGAGTACATCCTTGACGATTCCCTTCGCGGATACATCGTAGACTTGCGACTGAATTGCATTGGGCTTGACAACTTTGTCAAAAACGTACACTTTGCCCTGGAAAGAAACTTCACTAAGTAACGAAAAGTTTAGGCTCAAAGCTAACGGCTATCTGAGATCTCACCCCTATCGCTACGCAATTCTCATCCTGGAATTTAACGATGAACTTGGATCCCGCCCTCTCTTCGGAGTCATTCAAGGGACGGAAACGGCACACGACTTTGATGCTGTCTTCTGCTGGCACATCTCGCTCGGCGACTTCTACCGGCGAAGACGCCACTGGCGTCGTTGACATGCTCACAGTGGACACGCAAACTCAAAAGATACAAACGGAAGGCTCTCACAAAAAATGAGTATTCACTTTTAGAATCTTCAGAATCCAAGATGACACACCGCATTCGTTAAAACCGAACTTATTTCAAACAAACAGGATCACAATTATTCAATTGCAAACACCAGACAGTATCAGTTTTTCTTAGCCGAACTAAAACGATGCATTCATCAAATATCCGCAACGGGTATTTCACTGTAGGGAGTCCTTCATGACACCAGGTCGAATGATTGCGCGAGACTTATAACGAAGAGCTGGAGCTCTTTGTTACTCTTCTCCTGTGATCCGTTTTTTCATAAAGTATCCGTTTGTTGAAAGCATTGAGCGGATATGTCAAGGGAGAAACGCGGTCACGTACCATACGGTACGCAATTTACTAACTACTGTACAGTACTGTATATTGTAACTCACTTTGAGAAAACGTTCAAAGCGAGTTTTCATTCAAGCAAGTTTTCAATCTTAAAGAAAATTCTTCAACATAACATGCACATGCTCAGCGATAATGTTTGTCTACATCAGGTATAGAACATCAAAAAACTCCCGTCCATGTCGTTCAGTTATTCCATTTTCTCGAGAAGCCTGTCCTCCGGACAAAGTAAGATGACGGATAATTCGTTGGTTATAAACATCGCGTTTTCCAAAGCTGCAGCTCACGCGTGCACTCATCAGGTGTGCGGTGATTCAAATTCGTGTGGGGACTGGGGGCGCGAGCTGTGTGTTCATTCTTAACGGGATTGTGGCTGTGCTAGTGTCAGTTTGATCTTTGTAGTCTTTCTTATTGACTTGCTGCATTTTCAGTGCTCCCATTCCATCGCTCGATATGGATGATCTCCCCGGAAGAGTTGTCATACTGGACGCTGGTTCGCAGTACGGTAAAAGGATTGATCGTCGAATCCGTGAGCTGAATGTGAAATCGGACCTCTTACCGCTAAGCACGCCGATCGAGGAGATCAAGCGAGCTCAATACAAGTTTGTTTTTGCGTCGACTTGTTTAGCCCGGAATTTCTGATGAATTTCTATTATCTCTGATAGGGCGATCGTGATTAGTGGTGGACCCGGTTCAGTTTTGAATGATTCCTCGCCTGCGATAGATCCAAATATTTTTAAGCTGGGCCTACCTGTTCTAGGTTTGTTTGACACGGTGGATTTGCGTCCGTGACTTCATTGCATTGGTTTTTTTATTTTTTCTTTAGGTATCTGTTATGGCAAGCAGCTCATGGTAAAGCATTGCGGCGGTATTGTGACTAAGAAAATTGGTCGAGAAGATGGTCAATGCGACGCAGTTGTAGACCCAACATGCCCGCTTTTCGGGGGATTACATCCAGAACAAAAGGTTCTTCTGACTCACGGCGATGGCATGGAAGTTTTACCTTCAGGTTTGTTTCAATTTTCTTTCATTTGCAGTACGTAGTACGATTCTACTTAGATCTCTCGTTTTCCGACAGGATTTTCTCCGATCGCTCATCACGAAGACACAATTGTGGCTGTGGCAAATAAGGAGCAAAAATTGTACGGTTTGCAGTTTCACCCCGAAGTTGATCTAACGGAGAATGGACCCACCATGATGAAGAACTTTTTATTTGCGGTGGCGAAGATCCAACCGGACTACACGATGGTCTCAAGACTAGAGCATTGTTTGGACCACGTCCGAAAAATTGTTGGCCCTACGAAAAAAGTGTTGATGCTTATTAGTGGAGGCATTGATTCCACTGTGAGTGCGCTTCTCTTGCGAAAAGCTCTAGGTCCAGAACGAGTCATTGCTGTCTTCATCAATAATGGGTTCATGCGAAAAAACGAAGTCTCTGAAGTAGAGACAAGCTTGAAGCAACTCGAACTGGATGTCAAAGTGATTCACGAATTCAACAAATTTTACACAGCAATGACAAGCGTAACTGACAATACGACGGCGTCCAGAACTGGAAACAGTACCGGTGGCGATCATGTGCAAGATCACCTTGTGTTGAGTTCGGAGCGCCGTCGCGTGACCAAGATGTTGTGCGAAGTATCGGAACCTGAGGAAAAGCGTCACATCATCGGAGACACTTTCGTCGACGTCGCACAAGATGTGATGAAGAACCTTGGTCTAAGCCCGGAAAACACCTTCCTGGGACAAGGGACTCTGAGGCCAGATTTAATAGAATCTGCCTCTTGTATTGCATCTGCATCTGCTGATGTCATCAAGACGCACCACAACGACTCTGACTTGGTACGTCAGTGGCGTTCACTAGGACGCGTTGTTGAACCATTGACGGATTTTCACAAAGATGAAGTGCGCGCACTTGGAAGAGATCTAGGGCTCTCTGCTGAGTATTGCATGCGGCATCCATTTCCTGGTCCCGGCCTTGCAATTAGAGTTCTATGTGCCAATGAACCTTACATAGGCAAAGATTTTGCGGAAACTCAAGTTCTTATCAAGGTGATTTGTAACTACGCCAAAGCGAAACAAACGGTGAGTTTCTCCAGAATCTGCGTTATTTTTACTCGGTCTATGTAATGGGAAAAGTTAATCGCTATTTCCAGCTTTGAAGTTCGCATTTGCTTGATGGAAAACGTTTTCAATTAAAACACAGCGTTTTATTCCGAATTTTTCTCTTGAATTTTAGGATCACGCATTGACTCATCGGGTTGATAAAGCGACTTCCGATAGAGATCGAGAACGTCTTCTGGCGTTGTCGAGGGAGGAATTCATGGGAATTTTGCTTCCAATCAGAACGGTTGGAGTACAGGTGAATATATATTTCGATAAAAATGTGCTTCTTCTTGCGTAATGAAAACTCCCATCTCTATGAAACAGCTTATTATAATTTATTTAGGCAGAAAGTTGAGATTCTTCCAAACTCCATGCAACCGAACAAAGATTAAATGTGGAACAGTTGGTGAATTCCACCGTTTTCAACGTAGTTTCGCTGGCGAGTTTCAGAACACCGTCATTGTAAAATATCAAAAGAATTATCGAATTATGTAAATTATAAATTTAAAAATATATGCTGTCTTTATTGAAACTTAATATATAAGATGCACTGTTGTATGCTTTATGCAAACAATAACCCGTGAACCTGAAATCACTGTACTGTAATAACTATTTTCATGTAAGCCTTACTCAGTATTTGTGAATATCCTGAGCACGTACTGTACTGTACTTGTGTAATTACTTTGTCTGATCTTATTCTCGCCGAAAACTTCAGCATGTTCCATTTTGGGTCATCGTGGGAAAGGGAGGTCATTTGGCAATCTCACTCTAGGAACAGGTGGTAAAAATGTGTGTCACTTTTATTTTCAGGGAGACTGTCGATCTTACAGCTATTGTGCCGCGCTGTCCTGCAATGAGGACAAAAGTGTTCCGTGGGAGTCCGCCCTGTTTCTTGCCCGTATGATAACAAAAGTTTGCCATAACGTGAATCGCGTAGCTTTCGCGTTTGGGGGACCGATTTTGCATCCCGTCAGTGAAGTGACCCCGACGCTTCTCACGCCTTTGGTGTTAGCGTTGGCGCGTGAAGTGGATTACGTGGCTCACTCAGTGTTGAAGACGAGGAATTGCTATGACTTAGTTTCCCAAATGCCTGTGGTGCTTATTCCTGTTCAGTTCGATCGCGACCCCATGAACAGCAACAAAATGCCGCCCTGTGCACATTCCGTCGTTTTGCGACCTTTCCTGTCCAAGGATTTCATGACCGGAAGGGCTGTGGTCCCTGGTGCCGATCTGCCCGTTGAGGTGAGACTTCGACGCTGATTTCGCAAATCAATGAGTAAATGATGTAAAACTGGTCAGAATTGATGAGGCCGATTGTGTTCGAATGAATTATTCTGCTATTTCCACATCAAGTAGTCGTGAGGGGATCGTGGCATTTTTAATACACGGAGAGTTTTGTGAATCATTGGGTTCAATTGCAGGATTCACCTTATAGCTTCAGGTACACAAATTAATCGCTGGTCGAATTTGTCCGTTGCATGGTATTGGATGCCACGCAAAAATATCCCGAGTAAAAGTGGGAGAAAATTTCTGATGGAAGTGTTTGAATCCAGCATTTGCTATAAGATTTTTATCTTTCTTCGTTGTAAATTCCGGAAATGACCTCCAAAGAGGTGGATACACGTTCTGCGTTCATGAGGATTTTCATATAGTGTAGTTAAAAAGATGACATTTTCCTTGAGCATATCAATTTTGTATGCCCTTTTACTCCTGAAGTGTTTGCATCGTGACTTGCAAACTTGAGCGCTTCGCTAATTTTTGATTGAATCTCGAATCAAATATGATCGACGAGCTATGAAAAATCGTATTCCCTTTCATGTATTGAAGGTTGTAGATGAGATGGCGAAATCCGTGGCCAGAGTCCCTGGTGTATCGAGAGTACTGTATGACTTGACGCCGAAGCCGCCGGGGACAACGGAGTGGGAGTAAATTTTAGCGTGCCGCTGCGAAAGAATCTAGTAGTTTCGTTGTATGTTGTCTAATTTTATCATTTTGAAGAATTTTTCTGCGAATTTCGCGGTCTGATTTCTTGATGAACTGAATCAACTGATATTGGTGGATGGGTGGAAAAAGACAGTCCTTACCAACTCAAACTTGGATTTGTGCCAATATTATCGAGATGGGATCTTCTGCGAACGGCTGCGTAATTTCACTGTAACCAGTTGCTCACATTCAAAGTGTCCGATATTAAACAACAACAACAACAAATATATACTGTATATATATTGTACATATATATATTCTGTATATATACTGTATATACAGTACCAACCGCAACCTACAGTTGGTAACTTTCATGAGGTTTATTTAAGTAGGTTTGTTGTGGCACTTCGGTAACGAGCCATGGTATTGAACACACTCCTATTCATCTGTGAAAACATGCCGAATTTCTGATCAGTTGAACGATTCGAATTGAGTAAACTTCTATTGCAAAAATTTCAATTTTTTTTTTTAGATCAGCGTTCAGAATTACACATGTAACTGGGTGGCCTGAGAGTCGCACTTGTGAAGAATTTAAAACTGGTTTAATGACAACATCGGTCTAACCAAGATTGTAAGGCGAGTAGAAACTGACAATTCAACTAAAAAACTAATTGTCTTTTCTTCTGGAATGTTTGAAATACTGTACAATTTTTTAAAAATGCCATTAGATCGTCAGTGGTATGCACTACGCTCTGTATTTTCATGTTTGTTTAGTTATTGCGCTAGGGTTTAAATAACGGTAATTGCATTCGCGATTTCAATTTTCAACTGCTTAATAATTTTGATCAATTACAGTAGCTTTTTTTAACTTAGGTAATTATCCAGTCAGCTTCAAGTTGATTCAACTTAATCATCAATGAAGAAGATACATTTTGTGCAAATAATCAACGTTAGGTACAGTGCTTTGAAGTATTGCATGAAAGATTCAGTTCTATTCCGTAAAAGGCGTAAATTACTGTGCTGCACAATGCGAAAACTCAGATTATGTTGAAACGCCCGAGAAGATGAAAATTTAAATGGCTCAAGCAGCGAAAGAACGTTCCTCGTGTCATGAGCTTATGAACTGCCTGGCATCAGAGAAAGTCCTCAACCGTTCGCAGATCTTGATCATCGTGGGTACATAGAGCGACTGTCTCAATTATAAGTGATCTTGCAAAGCTTTTGTTCATCCAGGAACCTTCAAAAGTTGAACTAATAGTAAAAGTGACAAAAAAAATGGCTGCGGAAGTGGAACTAGAAAAGTGCGCGAATGAAACGCGGGGTGAAGAGAAAGAGAAAATGGATGTCAAAGAAACGCGATTACCGCAAAAACGTTTCTTTCGTCAACGAGCTCATTGCAATCCACTCAGCGACCGACCCATGTACCAGTGAGTTCTACTATTGACTCGGGTTCTCACGTCTATTGTAACTGTGTGCTTTTCCCGATTGCGGAGTCCGGAGAAGCCCGAATTGATGGACTGGAGTGAATATTATCCCCACTTTTTCAAACCAGGGGATGCCGGTCATTCAGAAAAGCGCGTGGAAATTCTGGACGTTGGTTGCGGTTATGGGGGACTTCTGTGTAAGTTGACATTTTAGGAATAAGGAGTGCGCAGTCGCGTGAAAGCGAACGTCGTAAAAAATATATGCTGTGTCGTAGAAATTAATGAGAAAAAAAGTTAAATTAATGTTCTTTTTTGGCGTAGCAATGTTGCACAAATTCAATTTAGGTCTCTGATGAGATTTGTTTTGTTTTAAATCATAACTTTTGTGTTCATTGCACAGGATTGCCGTTCATCGCGAATTTTGCTTAAATTCATCTTCGGACTATGTTATTGAACGATTGATTATTTTTCGAAATTTGGGTTATTTTATTCTAGTCTTAGAGCGTTCAATATATTCTGTTGTATATATTTTTTTAACTTCTGATTTTTTCAAACTACGGTAGTTACCTAGTTTCCCTTTTATGCTCCCTCGTAATACTGTACTACAGCATAAACCCCACTGTTTGTCTTGAAGAAGACGGATACATGTTTATTTTTTCGTTTTTTCCGGTTTATTTGCAGTGGAGCTTGCCAAAATATTTCCTGAGAAATTGGCGCTTGGATTTGAAATCCGAACGAAAGTGTCCAAGTATGTGCAATGTAAAATTGAAGCACTACGCAAACAAGAACCTGGAAAATATCAGAATGCAGCGTGCATTCGTACGAACGCCATGAAGTATATGCTGAATTTCTTTGCAAAAGAGCAGGTAAAAGTTTCCAGCCATAGTCGAATACTCAGTTGGTTGATCGAATTTTCTCGTTTTTCCAGCTGACTCACATGTTCTTCCTTTTCCCTGATCCACATTTCAAGAAAAAGAAACACAAGTGGAGAATCATCAATGACCGCTTGTTGCATCAGTATGCTTTCTGCATGGCCGTTGGGGTATGTGCACTTGTTTGCAATTGTTCAAAATATTCCTTTGTCTTGATGATCCATTTGTCGGCATCCCTTGAGTACGGAATTACGGGAAAATAGGAATTTATCTTGCTTTGGTCGTCTGGTTTCCGCATTTTCAAATGAAGTTTGAAGTTATTTTTAAACTTTAGATAGTTTGGATTATTGATTTCGTTATTGCTGACGTTCATCGGGTTTCCTGTAAATGTTGAAATAATATTTCATCCTTCGAGTAGAATCGAAACCATGCAGAAATCATGCGTATAATATACGCATGGGTGAAACCGTGAACGGAAATGTATGCAGTGGTAGCTAACTCTTGTAGTTTTGGTTGAATCAACATTTAAGATTTGATGACTCTTGAATATGAAGTTTCAAGATGTTATGCTCTATCTGTCTGTCTGAGACTCATAACTTAAACTAATACTGTACTGTATTGTTGATCAGTGTGGAATACGGCTTTACTTCGCCCAGAAGCCGGACAATTTTTGTACTTGTGACGTATTTTGAAAAGCAGTCTATTGAATATTGAATTGCACTGCCCCTAAAAAATATTTGCTCTCTTTTTTTTATTGTGCGTGAATGCTATTTATTTTGACTAAAATTGCAGGGACTAGTCTACACGTTGACTGATGTCGAACAGCTTCATCAATGGATGGTGAAGCATTTAAGAGCTCATCCTTTATTCGAAGAAGTTCCCGAGGAAGAATTAAAGGTGATCTTTTTTTCCCTTGAAAACTATTAAAAGCGTGTTTTTCATCACAGTGACTGTTGAACATTTTATGCAGGGAGATCCCGTTCATGACGTGATCTGGGAAAGTAGCGAGGAAGGGAAGAAAGTGACAAGAAATGAAGGATCTAAATTCCTAGCTGTTTTTAAGCGGATCGAAGTTCCCGGTATCTCGGCGCAGTCGTTGATGGACTCACATCCACCCACAAAGCGAGTAAAAATTGCGAACGAGGAGAGCAATAATGGCAAGAGTGAAACGTGATTCAAATAGGGCGTGGATAAGTTTGTTCAGAAACGTATCATCAAATGCGTGCCGTTGATTTACCTTTTTGTTAAGAAGTGGCCAGAAAAAAATGTGGCTGAAACTGAAAGAAAACTGACAAAAAATCGAAGTTTTATTTTTCATTCATCCTGCTGTGTTGAGCAAACATTGATCCCTTCTTATGTACTTTTTTTTTAGATACGAAGCAAAAAAAATTTTGTGAATTTGAAGATTGAATTCGTCACAATCTCTCATCATGTCAGGGGAAGGATCGAGGTGAACGAAATTTTGAAACAGAAAATAACAATTGTTTGGAATGAACTGAAGCGTTTTTTATATTTTCCAGACGTGGGATGAGTATGAATAAGGTGTTCTGTAATGAGCATCCAGATGCAACCTTGATCGAAGATTACCACGCGGGGGATCAGATTTGTTCCGAATGTGGTAAAGTCGTTGGCGACAGGTAAGGATCTTCTGATGAATTGTTCAATTGCTGAGAATAAGTTTCTTTTATTGTTCGCTTCTCACGTGGGGCTGGTAAAATATTGTCATAATACTCTTAGGTTTCCTTTTTCTTAATTCACGTCATTCATTCTATAATTTTAAACTTTATCAATGTATTGATGCATTACATCAGAAGATCTGCTTGAATTTCAGGTACGCAGTAACCTCCCAGGCCTTGATGAAAAATGTTTATCCTTCATTCAGAATGGATGGAGTAGTAAACGGATGCAAGGATGGTTAACAGTTCATTTCTAGTCTCATAATGTCAAACTCGAGTGGGTGTTTGAAGTAAAAAAAAACTATTCTTTCAATGAACTTTGTGACCCTTTAACCTTATCTGGTCACCGAAAGGGTCTTCGCGGAAACCAGACTACCTTTTTAAGAAATTGGTATTTCCAAGTTACATGGCGGATGATGTTCTCATCTTGTGATGTAGTGTTGCATATCTCGATCGTTATATTAGGGTGATTGATGTCGGTACTGAATGGCGAACTTTCGGCGACAAACAGGATCAAGATCCATCTCGTGTCGGTGCAGCCGAAAATCCCTTGCTCGGAAGTGGCGATTTATCTACCATGATCGGTCCAAGTAACCACTCTGCCTCTTTTGACGAGTTCGGAGCAGCGAAGTACCAAAACAAACGAACTGTACGCTAGTTTATTGATGACACAATTCCTTCTGTTGCTGCTGTATTTCAATGGGTATCAAATTTCTGCTGCAGATGAGCAGTTCGGACAGGACTTTGATCAATTCGTTTCGTGAAATCGGAACTATGGCGGACCGGATTAATTTGCCGCGGACGATCGTGGATCGGGCGAATTTGTTGTTCAAACAAGTACACGAGAGCAGAAGTTTGAAGGGCAGGAGTAATGATGCCATCGCTTCTGCTTGTTTGTATATAGCTTGTCGCCAGGAGAATGTTCCCAGGACTTTCAAGGTAAAACGTTAATTTGTTCATGTTTTCATTTTGAGTCCTGTAATTTTCCTCTTGGTTATAAACAGCTGTTTATACATGTACTTTGCGGTATACTGTACAGTACTACAGTATTATTTCTAAGTATTCATACAATTTAATTGAGATCAAATTTGGAGGAAGAGCTCTATGTTTCAAAAGCGCGATTTTACCTTAGTTAATGCTGAATTGTTTCATTTGTAGGAAATTTGTGCGATTTCAAAAGTGAGCAAGAAGGAAATCGGTCGGTGTTTCAAGCTGATACTGAAATCGTTGGAAACGAGCGTGGATTTGATTACCACGTCAGATTTCATGTCCCGATTTTGCACGAATTTAGGCAAGTCCATTTTGCTTGTGTCATCTCACCAATAAAAAAAGCATTTTCGTTGGATTCTTTTCAAATTGAATTTTCTTTTATTTCTTTAATGCACTGTAATTTGCTTCCCATACGCCGATAACTAAGTTTACAAAACTTGAGAGATTGCCTCATTCTACGCTTTGTCTGCACAGAATGAAATTCATTTAAAAGTCCAGAATTTGGAAGTTTTATTCTAAATCGAATCGTGTGGGGTTGTTTTTCTTTTTCAAAATATCGTGAAGCGGATAAAAATCGGTGAAGTGGCAAAAATCCTGTTGCCTTTCGTTTTGTTTCTGTATGCACTTCAGTATACTGCATTGTACTGTACTTGGGAACCTTGTCGTCAATCTAGATAAAATGCAACTTTTGTAAAGTAAAAGCATTTTACAGTACTGTGGAAGAATGAACATGTACCCAGTAATGTTTATGAACTGTATCTTTTAATTTAAATGCGAAGTTGGTGAATTTTTCTCGATTTTCTCAAAAATTAAATTGCTTATGCATCCAAATGAATGAGAACGAACGGTCATTCGTGATACCTGATCCTTTATTGCCTTGGCAGTGTTCATGTTTCCCTTATTGCTCACATCATATTTTCTCAATAAGATTTTAATCGTATTTTACGGTGATTTTGTAGGATTGCCTAATCCCGTGCAACGGGCAGCAACACATATCGCGAAGAAGGCCGGTGAACTGGACATCGTACCGGGACGGTCCCCGATTTCCGTCGCCGCAGCCGCCATTTACATGGCGTCCCAGGCATCGGAAGACAAGAAGACTCCCAAGGAGATCGGTGACGTGGCCGGAGTGGCAGACGTTACGATAAAACAAGCTTACAAACTGATGTATCCACGGGCAGCTGAGCTGTTCCCCAAGGACTTCAAGTTCTTTACCCCCGTGGAACAGCTTCCGTTGCAATGAAGTTTCTCAGTTAGGGAGTAAAATGAAGAAGTGTTTTGGTACACGACAAAGCAAAAGGTTTTATTTTTTATCGGTTGGCTGTCTTCTCGGCGTTGTGCCCTTCAAATTGTTTTTGTTATGGCAACTCTTAAACGATATAAAGCAACGTATGTCTCATGCGTTTCAAACTCTCTTTTTTTTACTTGGTATTCTTTTTTTCGTTTCTCATTGGGTATTTTCCTTGGATCAACAGGATTGTGCATGTGTATTTCTCTTCTCAATCTTTTTTCTGCGTTTTGAATCTCGTGAACGTGAATCGTGTAGATCTCTGCAGTGATACCATCTGAAGTAAGCTTTTACTTCCGCAGAAGTAAGTTTTTTTCTGATTCTCCTGGGTAATTTTCAAGTAAAAGCAAAATGAATGATAAATGAAAAACGCTATTTTATTCCATTCACACCAACGAAAAACAGAAAAAGTCGCGTTCACGCTTCGAATTGCTGAGCAGCATTTTTAGTACGAAAACTTGCGTTGAAGCTGGAGCTATTTGTTCAAAATTCGTACAAAAGCAGTTTTGTTCTTATTTACAGAATAGAGTAATCTTCAATCGGAACTTTTTTTTAGTGTCACTTCTGCTAGTAAATAGCCGTTGATTATTCCCAACTTTCGATCTGTATTAAAATGCGATAAAGTGTGACTATTGTTTTCTTTTCGTATCCAGCTCTGGGTTACTATTCCAAGGACTTCGCTTTAAAGACGTTTGGAAGCTTCTTCGTTGCCTTGTTGAGCTCATTTCGCGCAACAGAAGCCGAGGCAACACTTCGTGCTGTCCCATCCATGGCGTCGCTTGTTTTCTTCTTCACCAAATTCGGGACTCTAACTCGACTGGTCTTGAATAGTGTAGTGAATTTTTGCGTGACTTTCTTGTTACAAGTGAATGCGACAAACAAGAATAAGCCTTGGCTTGAGTTCGTAATTGTGAAAGCGAACAAAAGTCCGAGAACAACTTCCACGGGGTTTGGTAAAAAAACGGCGATCAGCCCGAAAGTCCAAGTGAATCCCAGTGCCGCGGACATTCGTGCATACAATCTAACCGCGTCCATCGGTGTCTTATTATCATGTCTGAGGGATTTGACCTCGTCTCCTGTTCGTTTGATCGCTACGATCGTTCTCACGTAGAACACGCCGTTCACTGCGAGGGAAACAGCGAGCGGTAGTCCGAAGAAAATCCCACTGGCGATTCCGTTCCCGATCCAACACTGTCCGAGCCCATAGGCAACCCTGAATCCCGGTGTGCAGTCGCAGTAATTCACTATCACCGAAGTGCTCGTGATTAGCAGTGGTATTCCGTAGCCGAAACAACAGTGCTTCGTGGTTTTGCGAGTGTGTCGCGCAGCGTGGTAAAGTCTTTGGGAACCCAGTGCCTTGAAGAGATCCCACGCGATCACGCTACTCCAAGTGAAGCTCGACAGCGACGAGTAGTGCACGAGTATCGCGACGAATTGACATACCGCAGGTGACACCATCACGCTGTCTCTCATTCCCGCGAGAAACGAAAGTTGGAAAATGAAAAGTGTGACGGTGAAGTGCAACCGGAGTGACGCTGCGGTGTTTTGCAGGTCTGGAAACAAGAAGTAGGTGGCTGCAGATATCAGCATGAAGGCCAGCGAGATTGACGTGAGAACCAAATTCAGGTAATTTAGAGCGACTACGATCTCCTGGAAACGAGGATCGTGAAACCATCCAGTGTTGGTGAGGCAGGTTTGTATGACATTCGTATCCACCTTCACGTACTCGAAAAACTCGAGTTGGGATTTCACGCCCCGCAAGTTTCCGGAGTTGACGAGAGTGTTGTTTTCTAGTCGTTCGAATATTTCGTATGGGAGCTGTACTTGAGGGCAGGAATAATTTCGGATGTACGGACGATTTCGGCACACGGCGACTGTACCGGATACGTTCGCGTACTCGCTGTTGGTAGTCCCGAGAAACAGGATATTGGTGAGGTATTCGTGAGGTTGGAAAGTTTCGTTCAGTTGCGGGATGTAAACCTGCAAATAATTTTCTCTTGATCAAATCTTGTTCCTGCAAGTTCGCGTCCTAGAATTTTGAGATCAAAACAGAGTTAGTTCCGTATAAGTTCTATACCTGCATTTCCCATGAACTCGAGTTGAGCACTGGATCGAAGGGGACCTCCGTGAATTTGAGCTCGAATTCTTCATTCCAGTACGTGAGAAATGTTCCTCCGCTGTTCGAAAAATCAATCATTTCCCTTTATTTATGGCATGCTGATTATTCTACGGTGAAGTCTGTAGAATTCATGAAGAGCATAAACGAGGAAAAATTCTCCACCGTGAATAGTGGGAAATTGCGTTTAAGAATGGGATTAGTCTCGAGAGCAATTACCGTATTTTTATTCGCGAAAAGGGTCTGGGATATAAATTTGACGGAAATAGTTAGACTTGAAACCAATGCTATGGTTGAATGCAGTGAGTGTTATTCAGTGTATTGGGTGTAGATAACCCGGAGTATTTTTTCTTCTTGTCTCAAGTTGAGATGAGTGTTTTTCTTCTTTTTCTCAGATGTACGCGTTTTAACATTTGTAACGTAAAGTGGTCAATTGTCCTTTTTTTGTACTTACTTGCACCAAATTTGTATTCCTGCTTGTCCGGTCATAACGGGTTTTTCTCGTATCCCAGCAACTTCCATTTGAACGGATCCCACCCAGAAAATGAAGACGTTAAGTGACAAAGCGTGCGTCATCAATGCAATTATCCTATTGTTGGTGGGTTGCTTGTCCGCGTCTTCCTCTGGTTCGAGAACCACGAGATTCACTTCGAACACGGGTTGACCCATTTCTTTTAACCCGAGAAATTCGCAGGACACGTTTGAGAACCGTGAAGGCAACACATCAGCGAACGGGGCCAAAGAATATGGAATTTGTGTTTCCAGAGACTGAATAGTAGCTCCTGGATCTGCGATCGGTTGTCCCACGATGATCGTCAGAGATATTTCAATTTTTGAGTCTTCTATCCCGTATATTTCTGTGAAAGAATGAAATCTTAGTATTGTAATCTTACACCCAGTGTATTTTTCGTGCGAGTGGTTGATGTAGTACACAGTACTTGAAATTAATTTCTAGAGTATTAATCGGAATGCTGACACGCTTAAAGAACGTAGTATTGAGACTTCGCTTCTTTCTTGATTGGAAACGTGTATGCCTTTTATTTTCTATCAGTAAATATTTAGATTTTCTTCGCTGAACATTTTTCTTGAACCGATATTCAATGAGAAAGTACGATTCGAAAGAGATTCAATTGAACTTCCATTTGAGTTTAAATTCAGTTTCTTTACAGTATTGTCTTCTGTGATTTTTTGAACAAGTTTTGCTTGATCATCTATCCGCATAGTATAGGTCACTCGGCTTTTTTTTTTTTTAGAATCTTTTCTGATTTAAAATCACTTGTACTTCAAAAATAATATCAACTAGTTCCCCGTTTGGAACTGAGTATTTGAATGGAAGGGAGCGTGGTACCGTGTGGAGTTGTTAGATTGGTGCTTGTGACCCCGCCGGGACTGGCGCACGTTAACCCGTCCAGTTCGAATTCCGCGCTGCAATAGATCTTTCTGCAGAAGTCTGCGAAGGGATCCCAAATTTCGTTGTCGGCGCAGTTTTCCCCGTTCATGTCGGATGCAAAGAACACGTGAAGCTCCTCGTCCGGCCCGAAATTCAGCAGCACCGTGAATGAATCTGGAATATCTCCCTTCGGCTCTTTGCCGTCATCATCCTTCAGATATCCAAGGCGAAGTTTGAAATGTTTGTGTTTGTGTTTGAGGATTAGTCTCTATTCTTATCGTGGGTTCTTTGAACAATTCATTTTTTGTTTTAAAAGTTTCCTCGAGCATCATCGGATGTTTTTAATACAGTAGAGTTTATATTTGTGGAGAATTAAATTCAAATGCATATCTTGAATTATTTCGTAGGATAATTTCAGAAAATACTCCGTAAAGTTTACTTAAAACAGAGCGCTTCACTTTTTTCCAAGCTTCGTGATCTCATTCTCTTTCCGTAATTTTCATCATGAGATTTTTCAAAGAAAATTAACTTAATCAACTTACTATACAGTACTCGTTTCTCGAAGCTGTTGAATAATCTTTTCCATCGTCCAAGCTGTTTGAATTCGTGCAAAGAATAAAAGGGGTATAACGTAGTTAGCGGGCGAATGCGACTTATTCGAGCACAGTATTAATTATTAAAATGTTCGCATTCCAAAAATGATATGAAAATTATGAGCGGCACTCGAATTCAATCGGTGTAGTTCTTCAGACCCCGGTTTCTTTTTTGAATAAATGTTGTCTAAAGCTCTAAACTTTTCTCATCTTTGAAAAATTAAAGCTTGGACTTCGACTCGTGAAATTGGAGGAGAACGAAAAAGTATGTGAATGTGTATCAGTTGCTGGAAGTTGTTCTGCTTGGAACGCAAAATTGTCATCAAAGGAAAAATCTGGAAATGTTTTAGTTTTTAATCCCTATTGGCGATTAAATGTCCTGTTCAATTACCATTGGGTAAATCGCTGAGCAAAGCCTCGGCATGGGTGTGTCCTTGATCCTTGGGAATTGGAAACACAACGACTCGTTGTTACGTATCGTTGTCGGGGTCTCGATGTCCCAACAGGTGCGCGGTTCCCAGACGGCAAACGTGTTATCTACGCTGTAACAGGCCCCGATGGCTTCATTGGCGAAGATCAGCCCCGATTCCAAACCCGTAACGGGTTTCAAGACCATTTTCGGTAATTTATCCCCCTGCAATTGATCCGTGTTTGCGAAGGAATAATCAATGAATGACGAAGGCGCAGAAGGATTTCCTTGCGTAAGTTGATGGATAGTATTGTACTGCACAGTATATGATTACCGTAAATTGTATCCTGCGAGAAGTTTCCTTCCAGAGAATGTTTTAAGTACTGTACAGTCACGTCGAGGGAATGTTTTAAAATGGCGGTGGAGGATTTGGTTGAATCACATTGTACGGTACTGTACTGTGATTCTGAGCAGCTTGATGCTAATTTGAGAAGCCCATTTTTTAATTCTGTTGCTTGCAAAATTGCATCACCGTCTAGGGGGTGTCTCACAAACCAATGACTATGCCAGAAGTACAGTATCTCACTTTGACCCTGAAAAACCTTATTGATTCCTATCTGACTCAGACCGCACAAACGTGGTGTGTTCAAGTGACATCTATGCGATAGCAGAGAAAAATCAGATCAGTGAAGCTTCGAGAAAGCAGTTACAGTACTCTTTTGTTCCAAATGCTACCGAACCCAATGGATTTTCGGTTGATGAAACCTTCGTGTGCGACTGGAAATTCTTCAAAAATGTCAACCTCTCGTTTCTACAGCAAAAAAAACCCAGAATTTCTTTCACAGTATTCTATTTACCTGGTCTCCTCTGCCGATTCGTTTATTGCATCCGGTCGCGACGGAAACACGAACCCCGTCCAAGAAGAAGCAGTCGAAGTCGAGGTAGTCCGAGTTATTTTCGAATGCTTCATCCAAGTCCTCCCAACACTGGTCTCCGTAGTCGTCACAGCAATCGTTGTGTCTCACGCACAGTGGGTCGCAGGAACATTTGTAAGGCGGGCCAAGATATGGCAGTCCGCAACGGAATTGGCAAGACGTTTTTAAATGACTGGGTATTGTGATCACAGCATCCAGATATTCTTCCGTGATTGACGATGCATCTACATTTTTTGTGGAATTTTAAGCATTTTTTTCTTTCGCAGTTTCAATCAGTGATTCTGTCTCTACCTCGGAAGTCGCTTTTCGAAAGAATGTAACACAATATTCTAGTTATTTGATCCAATCAATACCCTATTGGCTGGAATGTAAGACGCATTTTTTTAAAGAATTAGTTGCGAGGAGAACCGAGGATGCATCACATATTCGATGGTCTATTTTATTTTATGTCGCCGTAGTTTCACGAGTAAGATAAATTACATGATTATCTTCCCTGTAATTATGTAATTAACGTGGTCATCATGACCATTATCAGCCCAGGAATGCCACCGGTCTAATTCTCATTCTTGCGGTATTTAAGAGAATTTAAATCAAACTCTTACTGGAAGCATGAGTAGAATCATCAAACTTATGGAATTCTTGAGAAATTGAATGCATCGAAAGTGCGTCTAATACTGTGTACTTGCAAGCAGTTTGTGCATGTTCTAAGATTTAAGCTGAAGATAAGATGTGCGTCTTTCGTGTAATACAATATTCTAAAGCGCCTTATATTTTATTCCGAAAAAGGCGGTACGGTACTTCGTTGAGCCTCTTTTGTGTAAATTACGTAATTTATATGGGTGTATGGCATTCGAAGAAAACTCCCTCTGTTTTTTCATGTGTGTGTTTCTTTTCGAGCAAGGAGAACATGTCGCTTTGCGGAATGGAAAGATTTCTGAAATGATTCTAGGTTCTCTATCCAGTAGAATTTCATCTTACAACTCATATCACATTTGTATTGTGTTTTCACGAGAAAATGGAACCATAAAACCTTGAAACTTCACGTAGGCACAGATTTGCGAAAAATCGTTGAAATTCATTTTTCGCTCAAGTTTTTTCATGCCGTCAATTTAATGCTTTCTCGAATCCAATGAGTTTTTGTCGATTGCTAATTGCAATAATAATCTCTGCAAAATCCAGTTTTTCCGCTCTGCATGAGGTAACCAAGCCAAAGATGACCGTAAACGGAATTACAGTATTATCGAATCGCGATTCCAGTGGGGAAAAAAGGTGTTTTCGAATTTGTTGCCACAAAAATCACGTTAGCTCTTACCTGTCGAAGTGATCATGATGACCAACCAAAGCAGTGACTCAGAAATGCGCTGATACATCGTACAGGAGTGTTTTCCTTTCCTTGTTGGCACCCCGAATTTTTTGCCGTATCTCACTTTAATCTCACATGAACAAGTTCTTCGCTCGCCTCAAGCAAGCTTGTGACTGATACGATGCCAATCGTGCGATGGAAATTCGAATGCTAATTTTTAGATGAGTCATTTTTCTTACCAAAACAACGCGACGCTTGATAAGAGTCGCAAATTCGTGCAACATGTGATGGATTGGATTATTTCGTAACGCGTGATTGACGTTTAGCGCCTTGCGTGTGCCAAATAACGGCTGAAAACATTCTCGCCTCAGACAAAATCGCGTTTTTGTTTTCTTGGCTTTCAAAGCTCAATTTTTTTTTTTCAAAGTAAAAATTTGATTTCTTGTACAAAAAAATTTAAGCACTTGTGATAATTTGTGATTTAAATGTTCCACATTTTTTTACTGAAGTTTCTTCTTTGTGAATGATGACTGCAGTATATGTACAGTACTTCAATGAAGGAGGCTGAACGAATAAGGGAAAAGATTGATGGTGTGTTCGTGTTGTACATCGTGTTACCTTAAACCTGCTATCTTATGAAATCGATTCCATGGGGGTTTTTTCCTGATACAGTATTTTTATTATAAAAATTATTTGAACATGCATCATTCATCGCAGACCGGGCTAAAGATAAATCCAAATTTTTTCTCAGCGTTTCGCGTCGAATCCCAGTGACAAGAAGAAAAAAACCGAAGAAGCGATAGCATCCGATCAGGAAGAAGTGTCATTCAAAGGACAGCGTTACTCGTCGAAAGCACCTCGGTACCGATCACTGCGACTTCGGATGTTTCCTGGCCAGTTTTAGTGCTTTCTTCTTCTTTCTCCGTGATGGGTTCTTCCGGGTTTGTTCTGTAATTCTGCTCATTTTGTCCGCATTGTCTCCATAGGTCCGGACGCGGATCCGATGATTCCCCTTCCGACATCGCCGCTTCCCAGGGCCCAGAGTGAAGTCTTCTCTTTCTAAGTGCAGCCAGTGAGTTCTTTGATCCGTAAAAGATGTAAGTGCAGAATCCTACGAGTATCCATACAGTGACTGCGAATGCGTAATCGAAACCGGCGCGGATCAGAAGCGTCTTCGCAGTGACCAGTGTAACCGTGGCTCCGATGCCCTGGGACGGAAACCGGTACGAGTCGTGGAATGGCTGAGAATTCTGTTTCAATCGAGACATGCCGCAGATGTTTGGTAGGAGGACGAAGATGAGGAATAAGAGGTCGATGATGACGAGCCCGGAAGCCGCGAGTTTGATGCTTAGGTTGAGAAGCAAGGAGAAGATGCTTGTCCCTGCGGCGAGGATCGTCACGGAGCAAGCGTAGGACAAACCGGGCTCTGAACCCGATCGTTGGTGATGATGATGATGGTGGTTGGTGTGATGGTGACGTGTCTTGTGTTTGGTTTGATAGTCTTTGACTGCGGACTCGAGGGCTTTGGACTCGTTTTCCGACGCGACTTGGAAGCTGGAGTCGACTGTGGCTGAAACGGATTGAAGGCTTTCCGTTTTGGCGAGGATTTTCTGCCGATCGTTGGACTTGCTTCGCGTGGCAGCGAGAACAGTCTGGGGCAAGTTTTCCATTCCGCGTCGCAGTGTTTTGATTGTTTCTTGATACCTGAAGAAGAATTTACGAAGTATTCATGGTTGGCAATGCAGTTTGAGCCAGCGTGTCTCGGTTATAAACCGCGAAAAGTTCAGTTTTGTGTGATATTGTAAATTGCAGTACTGTATTTCAGTGCGTCCAGAAATTTCATGTGAGTATTTCCATGAAGATTGAGTCCATTCTACGCATGCACTCTGATTATTTTGCGCGTTATTTAATTTGATTAGTTCTTATTTTCAGAGTTCAAATGATCAAATAATTTTGAACCATCATGAAGCGAATTACTGTAGTGTGTAGTTGGTAACTGAATAATTTTTTCTTTCACCATCCGAAACGGTAAGGAAAAAATAAAATTGATTTACGGGGTATTAGAAGAAAAATTGTCATGCTCATGAACAACTTTTTTGTGCAGTGATTCCTGAAGGAAGGAATTATTCCTTTCAATAAATGAAAATCCTAAAAATCTTGGGAAGTTGGCTTATGATTAGGTTGCTCTCGTTAATTAGCTCCATTGTCGAGTTTTAACCTTTGAAACTTTTTCGTCTTCTAAGTATCGGCAAGTCTTTATGGCCTTTAATCCATATTTTTTCTTTCAATTTGATGATAAGCCCAAAAAATGTATTACGATTTCAAGTACTGGAAATGGCCAAGATAAAATCTGTTGTTTCGGGATTTTATCGAATCGGAGCATGTTTTTGCTTCACTCTAACGCTCGTCTTCTTAATGCCATCTCCCTGTGAATGAAGTGGATGGTTGTACTGTGCTGTGTTAACTCACCGTGATGCTGCGTTCGTCTTTCGTTGCTTATGTCCGGCAGATAATGCTCGTGAATGTTGCTCGTAGTCCGCAATCGACACCAAACTTCCAGGTGTCGACAGTCTTATGTCCAAACAGCAGTACACTGTCACACAAACGACGACGCTGGCCGCCACTGCTCCAACCTTCATAAAATAAATCCCGGTAGATTCAAAAGTGAAAAGAGGGATTCTTGATTCAGTTTTTAAAATATTTTTCCCTATAAGCCGAGAGAGTGTGTCTTTAGGATTAATTTAATTTCATCTACAAGTTCTGGTGCATTTTCATGATTATCACGAATATATTTTGGAAGTAAGGTCCAGAATTATTTTTAAATTTAAAGCAATTTGCTTCAGTTTTGTTAAGAAAAGAGCAGATTTGTTCGGTTTACGTCGTTCATGTATCATTACATGGAGTGGAAATGTGACGAATCATCGCAAATAATTCGAGTGCTGTACTGTATATCAGTTAAGGTACTGCGCAGTATTATTGATTTTCAATAACTGGCTCACGCGAGAAAGGACGAAGGACTTAGTGCGGTGTTTATCTTAGAATCAGTAAATCCGCTGAAAAGTTACTGATTTCGGCTTTATTTCTCTTTTCAAAAATGGTTCAGCCACTGAAATCCGATCGATCTTTTCAGTCATTTTTGTATGTTGTGAATTCGTCCCTAGCTTATACCCCAGCTCAGTGTTCTTTTTAATATAAATATAAAAGATCTTGGCGACCAGGAATTGCAATGTGTCCTTGATGAGTTCCCAAATCCTGCGGAGGCACATGAAAGCTTGGCTTCTGAATACCACGCCTTATTTCTGATGTACGGTGCATGATGCAAAAAAAAACGTGTGGAAAGCTTTTTTTTAGCTTGCGGATTTTTGCCTGAAGTTGGAGTAGATGAGGTGAATATTGCAGAAGAGAGAACAGGATTATTTTTTTCTATGGTATGTTATCTTTTCAACGGGCTTGCTGATCGGATGTTAGTTTGAGAAGAGGCGGAAAACCAATGTTATCAGTCCTTATCATGATCAAAATTTTTCTACGTTCGTCAGTTTTTTTTTCAGTTTTGAAGGAGGGTTGTGCATTCTTTTCCTAGAATTGAAGGGTGATTTAATGCGAGGGTATTTTTCAATTTTTTTACTTTGCATTTAAATTCTTTTTTTTTTACGAAATGGAATTTGGAGAATTTTTTTAATGGGTTTGGAGGCTTGAAGTTTTCAAGCGTCTGAGAGTAATAAAAATGATTCGTGATCTAAAATATTATCACTGCTCAAGAGGGCATTATATTTGCACTCGTTCCTAAAAAAATGATCAACAGTCGAATTGATTAAATCAATGGAATGGAGTGAAAACGTGTCTTGGTAAGCAAACAAAGCTGCAAGTTTGAAAATTGACGACTCAGAAACCTGATCAAGTGGAAAATTGACGACTCAGGAACCTGATCAAGTGGAGTATACACCATCGTGTTACATGAATTGGCAAAATGTTTTGAAAATTCCCGGTTTATGATTTAAAATCATGTTCGAATTAGCATGATATATTTCAGAAGTTAGGCATTTTCAGGTCCAAGAACTTTCATCCAGAAAAAAACCGTCGTTTTCAGTCTGCTGACATTTTTTAAAGGTTATTGGTAATTTGAAAAATCGGGGGAAAGTTCGGTCGTCTCACCGTGGCCACGTCCTCGGCGTCGTAGCAGAAACACGGCAGGACACAAAGCAGGAACTCTGTGACGACGAGCGGAACCCGAGAGTCCCGGGCCAGTTGGGCCGGCAACAGTCCGTCTTTGGCCATGGTGACGGCCGTGTGGATGATCGGTGTTTGGAGCAGCGGGGCAGAAAAGGTGACGGCGAGACACGCAAGCCCGCATGTCATGAAGAAAAGCACTCGTCTTGGGATCGACACGTCCGACGCGTGGCCGAGGAAGTTGAATTCCGAGTTCGTCAAGCTGGTGAGTGTCAAGACGTTTTGTTAATCAATGCATTTCATGACGGTTGTTTTCTTTTATTTAAACCCGATGTTGATTTCTGGAATACTGCATCAGTTCACCTGGATTCCTAAATTATCAAATTTATACCAGAAGATGACCTTTCTTGTTCCTCTCGGAACCTGATTAGATCTAAATTGCAATATAATTCAGATATCCCAAGCTAGTGGCCGGTTGCCCCTTTCCGGTTTATACTTGAATACTCGAAAACGTATCCAGTCGATGACAAAAATGTTTAAAAAAAAAAAAGAATGGTAGGAAATAATGGCTCTGATTTTACCGCTCATCTTGCAGTGCACTAGCGCGCAAAATCAGTCCCTCATAAGTGGGGAAAATGAATCTAGTTTACTTGGTGACCCAGGTTCCCACGGAATTTATATGTTGAACAAATAATCCAATGCCAGGTTTATTGGAGCCCAGATAATCTGAGTTTCGCTGTAGGTTTATAAAGAAAATACTCGATCTAAAATATTTCAATGGAACTCTGACCCGAAAAAAAAATCACAAATTTTAGGCGACATCTGCATGTGTGATGGAAAATCGGAGGCGACAAAAGTTGAAGTTGAAAAATTTTTAACGAGTCCTCTCTTTTTCAAAGAGGCGAGCTTAAAAGAAATACAGTAATTAGAAAATGTTTGTCGCCAACGATGAAACTCCTGGCGTGATCACAAAGTTTTCTTCTTCGTTGAATATTGAGCTGTGTGTGATTTTTAAATGGAAACATTGATGATTGTTTAACTATTAACATACTGTTATCTGTGGCGAGTCACCGAATTTCTCCTGCCTCGTTTTTTGTGCCTGCATGGCATTTAAAATGAGCAATTTCGAGCAATATTATATTTTCTTGACGGTGGAAGAAATGGTGTTATTAGAAAATGCGTGTTTCCAACTATGTGACTTTCGTTATAAAAATACAAATTTTATCCGTTAGCTGCTGCGGGTTCATGTGACAAATTTAGGTTTTTTATATGTTTCCATGTCATTGAGTTAAAATGAGGGAATCATTGCAGGAAATGGCGTTCTTTATGGTTGAAGAAAATGGGTTTTTGTTTTTGTTTTTCAGCATCGAGGAATTTTGTGGAATGCAATTTCTGTCTCGATTCCCCGTGGAACTGCGTGGAAAATGAAAATCCACGGGATTCTGAGTTGCATTTCATGCAACATTACAGTACTGTACTGGCAAAATTATCA